TCAAATAATTCGAATAGTTTGAATAGTTTGGGCGCCCCAGGCCGGGCCCCAAACTACTCCCAAAACAAAATTACGAGCCCGGGCCTTCTCCCAATCGTAAATTACGAGCCCGGGCCTTCTCCCAATACTAAATTACGAGCCCGGACCTTCCCCGAATACTAAATTACGAGCCCGGGCCTTCCCCCAATACTAAATTACGAGCCAGGGCCTTCTCCCAATCCAGCACGAGCCCTCCTTTCCAGACTGGTCTCCCCGGGCACCCCACCCCCCTAAACTATTCGAACTATTCGAACTATTCGAACCCCCTTGGCTCGAATAGTTCGAATAGTTTGGGGCACCAGTTTTGTGCGGCATTTGCAGGACTTTTGCAAGGTGCCAAGGGGATCCCGGCAAATTTCGACCCGCAAAGTTGTTCCTACCCGTTCCCGTTTCGTGTGGTATTTGCGGGACTTTTGCAGGGTGCCAAGGGGATCCCGGCAAATTTCGACCTGCAAAGTTATTCCTACCCGTTCCCGTTTTGTGTGTTATTTGCAGGACTTTTGCAGGGTGCCAAGGGGATCCCGGCAAATTTCGACCCGCCAAGTTGTTCCTACCCGTTCTCGTTTTGTGTGGTATTTGCGAGACTTTTGCAGGGTGCCAAGGGGATCCCGGCAAATTTCGACCCGCAAATGTTGTTCCTACCCGTTCCCGTTTTGCGTGGTATTTGCGGGACTCTTCCATGGTGCCAAGGGGATCCCGGCAAATTTTGACCCGCAAAGTTGTTCCTACCCGTTCCCGTTTTGTGTGGTATTTGCGGGACTCTTCCATGGTGCCAAGGGGACCCCGGCAAATTTCGACCCGCAAAGTTGTTCCTACCCGTTCCCGTTTTGTGCGGTATTTGCGGGACTTTTGCAGGGTGCCAAGGGGATTCCGGCAAATTTTGACCTTTGGGGGCCCCAGGCCGGCGCGAACCCCCCTTCCTCCCAAACTGGTCTCCCCGGGGACCCCCCAAACTATTCGAACTATTCGAACTATTCGAAACTATTCGAACTATTCGAACCCCCCTGGTTCGAATAGTTCGAATAGTTCGAATAGTTTGGGGCACCAGCCCTCGCCCCCAAAATATTCGAAAAAATCCGAACCCCCCTGATTCAAATAGTTCGAATAGTTTGGGGTACCAGGCCGGGCCCCCAAACTATTCGAACTATTCGAACCCCCCTGGTTCGAATAGTTCGAACAGTTCGAATAGTTTGGGGCACCAGGCCGGGCCCCCAAACTATTCGAACTATTCGAACCCCTCTGGTTCGAATAGTTCGAATAGTTTCGAATAGTTCGAATAGTTCGAATAGTTTGGGGGCCCGGCCTGGGGCCCTCACACTATTCGAACTATTCGAACCCCCCTTTCTCCCAAACTGGTCTCCCCGGGGACGCCCCAAACTATTCGAACTATTCGAACCCCCCTGGTTCGAATAGTTCGAATAGTTCGAATAGTTTGGGGCACCAGCCCTCGCCCCCAAACTATTCGAACTATTCGAACCCCCCTGGTTCGAATAATTCGAATAGTTCGAATAGTTCGAATAGTTTGGGGGCCCCAGGCCGGGCCCCCAAACCATTCAAACTATGCGAACCCCCCTTCCTCCCAAACTGGTCTCCCCGGGCAACCCCCAAACTATTCGAACTATGCGAACTATTCGAAACTATTCGAACTATTCGAACCCCCCTGGTTCGAATAGTTCGAATAGTTCGAATAGTTTGGGGCACCAGCCCTCGCCCCCAAACTATTCGAACTATTCGAACCCCCCTGGTTCGAATAGTTCGAATAGTTCGAATAGTTTGGGCCTCCAGGCCGGGCCCCCAAACTATTCGAACTATTCGAACCCCCCTGGTTCGAATAGTTCAAATAGTTTCGAATAGTTCGAATAGTTCGAATAGTTTGGGGGCCCCAGTCCGGACCCCAAACCATTCAAACTATTCGAACCCCCGTTTGAATGTTCAGAGAAGACGCATGATCACATAATACAGGAAGGTTCCTCGTACATATATATATATATATATATATGCTACCCCCCCCCCCATGCGCCCACGCTTCAGCATGGTTTCCAGACAAAAATACTACGTTCCGCCACCCGCGGTGGGTTTTAAAGGGGGGAGGAACTCCCATAAAACTCCAGCAGAAGTGACCTGAACAATTTGCTCGAGATTGTGGATTGCATGCTATGAGTTTAAATAGAAATCCTATGCATGTGAATAGCGTTCCTATCAAATTTAATTGGGTTCATAAGATTCATCTTGTGTCAATAGGAATCTTATAAAAATGAAAAGGAAACCCATTAATAGGAATGAGAACCCTTAATTCTATTCTATTTAAAATTGATAGGAATCATATTACATTTGTAGGAGCCTTATTAAAATAATTCGGCAAACTATGGAAATGTATTGGAATCTTATACACAGAAAAACAGGAATCCTCTATTTCAATCCATAGGAACCCTAGAAAAAGTAGAACCCAATTATACTTGATAGCAATCCTAATAAACTGAAGAGGGCCCCTACTAAAATTAATAGGAACCAATGGGACTCCTATAAAAAACAAGTGTGAACCCCTAAATAGTAGGAGTCCTACTAAAATTAATATGAGCCTAAACCAATCGGTATCCCTTTCAAACGAATGAGATCCCTATTAAAATAAATACGAATCCCATTAACATGAATAAGCATCTGATTAAACTTGATAGGAATTTCATTACATTCGTAGGAGCCTTATTAAAAGAAGTAGGAACCCTAACTAGAACTTTATTGGAATCCTGTAGAAATAAATAGGAATCCTCTATTGACTTCATAGGAATCCTGCCAATATTTTTCGGAACCGATAAAAGTTAATAGGAAGCCTATTAAAATGAATAGGAACCCTTGCCAAATTGAAAAGAACCGGTTATAATTCATAGGAATCCTTTTAAAATGAGAAGGAACCTTGCTAAATGAATAGGAACCAATAGGACTCCTGTATAAAATAATATGAATCGGCTTAAAAGCTTGGTTTTTTTGGGACAGTACAGCGTTTTTGCAGTCCCAGGCCTCGAAAGTGCTGTACTGTCCCAAAAAAAACAATCTTTTTAAGGCCAAAAGTGCAAAAATGCTGTACTGTCCCAAAAAAAACCAAAAAAACCAAAGTTTGGAGACCTTGGGCTCCTCCAGGGCCTGGAGGTCTCCAAACTTTGGTTTTTTTGGTTTTTTTGGGACAGTACGGCATTTTTGCTTGTTTTTGCTTAAAAGGATTGGTTTTTTTGGGACAGTACAGCGTTTTTGCAGTCCCAGGCCTCGAAAGTGCTGTACTGTCCCAAAAAAACCAATCTTTTTAAGGCCAAAAGTGCAAAAATGCTGTACTGTCCCAAAAAAACCAAAAAAAAAACAAAGTTTGGAGACCTTGGGCTCCTCCAGGGCCTGGAGGTCTCCAAACTTTGGTTTTTTGGTTTTTTTGGGACAGTACGGCATTTTTGCTTGTTTTTGCTTAAAAGGATTGGTTTTTTTGGGACAGTGCAGCGTTTTTGCAGTCCCAGGCCTCGAAAGTGCTGTACTGTCCCAAAAAAACCAATCTTTTTAAGGCCAAAAGTGCAAAAATGCTGTACTGTCCCAAAAAAACCAAAAAAACCAAAGTTTGGAGACCTTGGGCTCCTCCAGGGCCTGGAGGTCTCCAAACTTTGGTTTTTTTGGTTTTTTTGGGACAGTACGGCATTTGTGCTTGTTTTTGCTTAAAAGGATTGGTTTTTTTGGGACAGTACAGCGTTTTTGCAATCCCAGGCCTCGAAAGTGCTGTACTGTCCCAAAAAAACCAATCTTTTTAAGGCAAAAAGTGCAAAAATGCTGTACTGTCCCAAAAAAAACCAAAAAAAAAAACAAAGTTTGGAGACCTTGGGCTCCTCCAGGGCCTGGAGGTCTCCAAACTTTGGTTTTTTTGGTTTTTTTGGGACAGTACGGCATTTTTGCTTGTTTTTGCTTAAAAGGATTGGTTTTTTTGGGACAGTGCAGCGTTTTTGCTCTTCTGGGCCTAAAACATTGGTACAGTAGAGCGCTTTCGTGCTCGCCGCCCTCGGAGGCTTCGAAATCCTAAGCCTCTAAACCCTACCATGGCACCTGAGAGGAAAAGTGTGGGCATATGGGGGGCGGGGGTACCATATATATATATATATAACCTGCAGAAGAATCTTTTTGGGGGATTCGATATAAGGTCATCCCAGAAGCGCGCTCATTTTTCAGCCGGCTCCTGACTGGATTTAAAGGGTGGGCTCAAGCTCAAATGCCAAGTGCTTGTGGGCAGCGGGCAACTGGTATGCTCTGCGTGACGTTTTTGGTTTTGGGGTTTAGGGTTTAGGGTTTAGGGTTTATAGGGGATAGGATTCGGGGGACCCTTGGGGATATAGACCCTCTGAATAAGGCCCATGTTGAAGAGAGCCAGAAGAGGCTTAAGAAGGGTTCCCCTTTGAGGGTCCCCCGTATCCTACCTAGGATGGGACTTCAGGGTTTCAGAGCTTGGGCCTTGAGGTTCGGCTTCTCAGAGCCCTACGCTCTTCAGGGCATTCGGGTTGAATTAGGGTTCTCTGGAATTCGCCGGGCGCTTTTTAGGGTTGCCCTGGCACCGTCGGCTTGTCCCGTCATCTCGGGATTCGCCCCTTGATTCCGGTATGGGCCGCCTATCCGACGCTTTTACGAAGGAGTCGTTTGTGAGGGACCCCAAAGTAGAGCAGGAATATCGTGAGAATGCAAAGGCCCTGACAGACCTTTTCCTTGTAAGGTTCTTGGGATTCCTTATTTGGGGGTCCCGAACCGAATAGACTCCCTTTCTTTCGCGTGCAGCTCTCTAAACGATTGGTCCCTTTCTGGGTATAACATACGGCCCCACAGGAAGCTCCCAAAACCCTAAGCCCTAAACCCTAACTCTAGACCCAAAACCCTTCCCCAACAGGGACCATGATTGTAAAGAGCTGCCCTCTGTGGCATTTGGCGTCGACACGTCGCCACAGGTGTCAGGAGGAGTCTGAGTCATCGGAGGACGATGAGTCCGAGGAGTCACTGCTGGCCTGCAAGGGGTGGGTTTAGGGTTTAGGGTTTAGGGTTTAGGGTTTCGGGTTTCGGGTTTGGGGTTTGGGGTTTGGGGTTTAGGGTTTAGGGTTTAGGGAGGTTTAGGATTTAGGCTTTAAAGGGTTTAGGGGCAGTTTGGAGGGGGGGGGGGGGGTAAGGGTAGGGTCTAGGGCTTAGGGTCTTGGGGGCTTGGGGGTAAAGGATGGTGGAATGCCCACACGAAGTCTCTCTAGAGTTCGCCTGCCGTGCTTAAAGGTGCCACAAGCATTCGCTAGTTTTACAAACTAGAAACCTTAAGGCCTGAACCCTAAAAGTCTTTTGGAACCCAGACCCAGAGCCAAAAACTCGGTACATCCTGCCAACGTACTTTCTGACGAGCACCATCACATCATTACACTGTTTCAATTCAATGCACCATGACATGTACGTCTCAGCCCCTGTACACGGCCCTTTGAGGCATCTGGGTGGAGCTGCTGAATCCTATAAGAACCCCCCAATAAGGGACCCTCAACAGCCCATACCCCGGCACACCCACCGAATGATCCCTCAACGCGGCTGTTCTGCTCCTTCTTCTTCTTGTCCTTCTTGCCCTTCTTTCCCTGCAAGCAGGTCTCGGGCGTTGTGGCTAGGATGTGGCCTGTACTTGCTGAACAGGCCGAAGGGCATAGAACTCGCAGCCCTCCGAGTCCAGGCAAATTAGAGGCCCGCCCTCCCGTAACGAGCCCAAACTCCTCTGGCCTTTTTCTTCTTGTCCTTCTTGTCCTTTTTGCTCTTTTTGGCCTTCTTCTCCTTCTTCTTGCCTGCACTACGCGACCCCCCGTGGTTAAAGCTGCCCAGCTCTGAGCTCGCGGCCATCCCTGAGGTGAGCTCCATATGCTTCGCAGGCAGTCACGCACTTCTCGACTCTTGCGTCTGTGTGTGTGGCACCCAGACCATCCACCACCAAGTGGCATTCAAGCTACACAGGGTGCGCTGTTGACTTCAGTCTCGCTTCAGGGTTTCGGGGTACACCGGAGACCAAAACTTGCTAAACTCTCAGGGCACCTTTCTTGTCTTTCTTCAGCTTGCTTGCCTCGCCGGCTTTCCTGCAGGAGAAACCAAGTCTAGCACCAGGGGCCCTAAACCCTGTAGTTTTGAACCCCAAACCCGAAACCTAAACCCTAAACTCTCTAAACTCTAAACCCTAAACCCTAAACCCTAAACCCTAACTAAAAGTTTGCGCTGTCAGAATGGGCTTAGACCTGGCTGTGACATGGCTCCTTGGGGCTCGAGGGCTTGGCAGGGCTTCCTTTGGTCGCTTTCAAGGCCGGGTCTTGTCAGTTTGGGGTTTAGGGTTTTAGGGGTTAGGGTTAGGGTGCAGTATGTTGGGTTTAGAGTTTAGGGTGGGGTTTCTAGTTTAGGGTTTAGGGTCTAAGGTCAAAGTTACCCGTAGTGCAGGGTTTTGGGAAGAGACGTCTGATGCTTGCACGTTGGCATGAAGGCTGTTGGGATCCAGGGCTCAGTCAGTTGGTGAGGGAATGAGGTACCCTATATAATCCCTTAAAGGGTATATATACGGCCCTAGAATTCCCTCCTTCCCTGCTTACCCACTGTAAGTCTCAGTAACCGGGGCAGGCTCCTTTTCGTGCCGGTGGCGACGGGCTCGTCGGCCGGAGGCTTGAAGAGATTCCTCAGCAATCGCAGCTGTCGGAGGCATTACGTTCCTAGGCCACAGCAAGCAACCTGCCTTTGATCTACGTTGAGAGACATGGAGAAGTGGTCATGATCATGGCAAGCGTGCCAGGGTGGGCAACCCAAATCTTTCCACCGTCCTCACTCTCTTCAACCTCAGAGGCCCAACACATCCCTCCATAACTCAACGCCCCTTATCACCATCCTTCATTCCAACATTCACGGGAAAACGCCCCTAACATGTCAAAAGCACACCTATAAACCAACAGGGTCCCTGAGCCTGAAGACCTGCACGGCCCTTCCCCATCTTTGCTCACAGGTCCTCAGACTTAGAACTAGTCGGGCTTCAGGGTTGAGGAATGGGGTATGACGATATGAGGGCTTCGAGTTTGGCCTTCGGATGTCTTGCCGTCTTGCGCCAAGGGTCGCCGGAGGGGCGCTGTAGAGAGCCTCATGATGGTTTAAGAAGATTTGAGGTTCAGGTTTTAGGGGTGCCCCAGTGGAGTGCAAGTCCATCATGATACAGCTGCAGCAGTTCTTTGCTAAAGTGGCTAGACGCAGTCGCACGCTGTATTCTAGGCAGCGTTCATGAGCTTTCGGTCGGGTGAGCGAGTGAAGTTCTGCTGCTGCGGGGCAGGGGGGGAGGGGCAAAGGGAGCATTTCGGGGAGCATTTGGAACGTAGGCCCTCGGCTCCGAACACAGTCACTCCAGGGTTTGCGTAGGGCTTAGGTACCACATCGTCAACAAGCCATGCCAGCATACCAGTAACCAAGGGAGGCCAACGCACCCTAGGAATCAGCCAACTTCACTGTGCTCTGTCAGCCGACGCCCTAAGCCCCGAACCCAACCCTAAACCCTAAACGCTAAACCCTAAACCCCTAAACCCCTAAATCCCTAACCCCTACAAACAACCACAAAGGGCACGTGCGGGGGAATAGGCCGGTCCAGCCAGGCAGCATCGGACACCACCCCTCGAGGCAGCGACGGCGCAACCTCAGGACGGCGTGCGGAAAAAATCTCAGGTTGAGGGCGAGGCTTAAGGTTTATAGGGTTTGGGGTTTACATCATTCTTAACAAGTACACACTTAAAACATGTACATCCATATATATATATATACATATGTATGTATACATGGATGAGCAGGTAGGGTGGGTGTGGGGAATGAAGGCTGAGGTTGTCGAAAGACACCCCAGGCTTGGAGACCCTGGAAGTGCAGGAAGCTTAGCTTTCTGGAGGTTTAGGGGTTAGGGTTTAGGGTTTAGGGCTAGGGTTTAGGGTTTGGGGTTTAGGGTTTAGGGCTTGAGGGTTTTAGGGTCTTAGGGTCTTAATTAGGGCTTTAGGTTTCAGGGTTTTAGGGTCTAGGGTTTAGGGCCCTCAAGCTCGGGTAGGGAAGGGGTGAACCTCGAAGGATTCTTTGCTTGCACGTGAATCTCTCGGCGCAGTGTATTTCACATCCCGGGGTTCATACAGCTTGCGCTTCCTCTGGAAAATAACACCCTACGATAGCCCTTTAAAAGACCCAACAACAACCAGCCCTTTAAAAGCCCTCCGAAAAAATCTTCCCGAATGAACCTCTTGAACCCAACAAGGGAAAGTATATAATGGGGGTTTACGAACATAGCGGGGGGCCCCTACAATACACCCCAAAGAGTAGGATTCCCTTGTCATAAGGACCCCCAAAAAAAAAGGTACCCCCGAAGTTCGGAAACACCCATATTAAAGGACCCTGTAACTACCCTTAATGGGAGGTTCATGGTACTTATGAACCAATTCTAGCTGCACTTGTAACCCAATAAGGGAAGACATGAAATATCCCAAGGGCCTACCACCCCACGACTTCGCCCTGAGGTGGCTGCCCCGGCTTGTTGCTGGCGCTGCTCTTCTTTCAGCCTCTGGGTTTAGGGCTTCGGGTTTAGGGTTTAGGGCTTATAGGGTTTAGGGTTTAGGGTTTAGGGTTTAGGGGTTTGAAGGGTGTAGGGGTTTGGGGCCGGTTTAGGGGTTTGAAGGGTTTAGTATTGGGGTTTTTTCGGGGATCTGAAGGGTGCAGGGATTGAGGATTTGAAGCTTCTCGGGCTTTGAGGAAGTGGTTTGGGCTCCGATGTTTCCGAGGGAATCGTCGTGGGGACAACGTGTGGGGCTCAGGCTTTCGGACTTAGGTAAGGCGCCCTGACGCCTCTGTTGTGCAGGTTGAGAGTTATTGGCTCCGCTGTGCGGTCAACCAAGGCCCTGCACAATTTCCAGAGGTCGAACGGAGCAGGGCCCATTCGACCACATGAGCGCCAACAAAAGCCAGACCCGAAATCCACAAGCACGCAAAACAAAGGGAGCCGAAAAGCCCGCAGGTTAATCCCCCAAACCCTCACCCAAATCAACCCAAAGCCCACGTAAAAAAACCCTAAACCCTAATTAAACCCCTAACCCCTAAACCCTAAACCCTAAACCCCTAACCCCCTAAACCCCCAAACCCTAAACCATCTCAGCAGCCGCTGGATTCGCATCGCAGGCGTCTCGCGCGTTGTGATGGAGGACATGGCTTCCGCTGGGTTTGGCTAGCGATTTCAGGCGTAGGAGGGCTTCAAGGCATTAGGATGCATCACCGCACTTGGTTAGCCCCAAGCTTCTTTGCTGAGTGTTGAGGTATGTTGAGGTATATGGTTGCTCTGGTGAAGAGCGGTTTCGGGTTGGCGGGCTTGTTCTTGGACTGCAGGATGGACGTGGGAGGAGGTGAAGGAGAGGGTACTGTGCTCATGATCCCTAGTAGGGCACTTAAGGGGCCTATAAGTGGGTCATAAGTACAGTTAAACTTGGTTAATAAGGGCCGGGGGGCAGGTAGGCAGCATGTGCTTGAGCCTGCACAAAGCTTGCCAAGGCAGGCTGTGACGTCGAGCGCGTGGGGCTTGTCGTTGCCCTAACCCTAAACCCTGTAACCCTGTAACCCTAAACCCTAAACCCTAAACCCTGAAACCCTATAACCCTATAACCCTAAACCCCTCAGACACCAGGTTCTGGTCTGGCTGCCCTAATCCCGACCACCCCGCCTTCTTCACCTTTGGATCCTTCAAGCTAAATTGGGGTTTACAAAACTAGGGGCCCCTAAAATAGACCCCAAAGAGTAGCATCCCCTTATAATAAGGACCCCAATAAGATACCCCTAAGCCTAATATCGTAAACCCCCCCAATACCAAAAGTGTCCAAGCTGTCGATTATCAAGCCTTGCCTCAAAACCCTTTCAGGCCTCCCCTGAAAAAGCCCAAACCCCTCTGGTTCACCCAGCCCGCAGGCTTCTCCTGCGATGTGTCCTTGCTCAGCTCACCACCTTGGACGCAAGATCTGCAAGGACTCGGGTCGGTTGTCCAGGTTCGGGCTTGCCCAGGATACGTTGACAAGGGCAGCAAAGCACCAAGAATAGCAAAGTCAAAGGTGCGTAAGCCCTGAGTCTTGGGAACACCCGAACCCTCTCGGGAGCAGAGTGGGCTTCTCGCCCTCCTTATCATCTTCTGAGCACTTACAACTTCCTGGCCTCGTAGATGGTCCTCCTGCTGTTGACTGGGGACTGTCGCAATGATATGGGTTCCTTTCATTCCCCCTCTATACCCGTTTTAAGGGACAATACCTGGAAGCCCTTTTGACCTGCGGGGGTTATAGTAAACTTTCTAGGGGGTACTGAGTAGACCTACTAAGTCAAAAGGGCTGCCTAGTATCCCTAACCCTAAACCCCTAAACCCTGAACCCCCAAACCCTAAACCCTAAACCCCTGATCCTAAACCCTAAACCCTGAACCCCTAAACCCTAAACCCTAAATCCCCCTTTGGGCCCACGCCAAAGGATGCCACGAAGCTCCGGAGGCGGTTTTCTAGATCTCGGAACAGCGCACGACTGGGGTTTGGGGTTTGGGGGTGAGGGGTTTTGGTTTGGGGGGTTTTGGGGGGTTTTGGGGGGTTTTGGGGTGGCCCGGGGCCACCTGTACCAGAAATGCTGAGCTGAACTACAACCTCACCCTAAACCCTAAACCCTATGAACCTACTTTTCCAACAGTCAAGCCCAAGGGAGGGGGGGGGGGAAGTTGTTGCTCCTAGAAAAGCGCAAAAAGGCAACCCTAGAGCTTCTACCACCAAAGTAAAGCCCGCAAAACGGCTCAACCTGCATCCTTCTTTAGGTTTATATAGGGTTTACATAGGGTTTAGGCTTTAGGCTTTAGGGTTTAGGGTTAAAAAACACCAAAAACCCTCGAAACCCTCAAAGCCGTAAATCCAAAAAAAACGCTGAGAGCACGGCCGGAGCTCCACACCACCGCCGGCACGCGAATCTTGCAGTGCAGACGCCCGCCCTGCCGGTTTAGGGTTTTTGGTTTAGGGTTTAGGGGTTAGGGATGAACAGGTTTAGGATTTAGGGTTTAGGGCTTATTGATGAACAGGCGTTTGCCTTAGAGTTTAGGGTTTAAGGATGAACAGGTTCAGGGTTTTAGGGTTTGGGGTGCCTGCCTCGCTGACCTCTCTCGGACAAACTGCAGGTCTCGTGGCCTCCTCCTCCCTTGCGGTCTTCTGCCTTCTTAGGGTACTTACATGGTCGCTTGATGTTGTTCCCTTACATACCATACCCTTTATATACCCCACGAAACCCAAGGGCCCTTACTTCAGAACCCTTCTTTGAAGGTGAGGGACCAAATTCGGAGACCATGTCACTATCCTTGCAAGTACAGCAACTCTGAAAAGTTTGGGGCGCGCCTGCTGCAGCGAGCTGTGCTTCTCCGCGTGGACGATGCAGTGCTGCACAAACTTGGCCAGCCTCGGCAGCAGTATCGCTTTTCGGCGCCCTTCGGAAGCTTCTTCGGGGCTGAACTAATGTCAAAACCACGCTCCACAAAAATTGTCAGAAAGCCGTAACCCTTTTTCCCTCAACCCAAGAAGCCATATCCGAACCTTCAACGCAAGCAAAAACACAAGCTGGGAGCCCCTGGCGTGGTCTGAATGCCGTCGAAGACGATCATCTCCATCGAGTGCTGGCGCCTTTCGGCCTCGAAGGAAGATGTTTAGGGTTTAGGGTTTAGGGTTTAGGGTTTAGGGTTTAGGGTTTAGGGTTTAGGGTTTAGGGCCACCCAAAAACATATTCTTCCTTACAAGGGCAATCTAGGGATTACTCTTTGACTTTCTTTGGGGAGTAGAAACCCACCCTGAAACCTTGCTTAGTGGTGCTCTCCGGGTGGGCTGAAGGTTTAAGGATTCAGCAAGCTGCTCCATGGAATTTTGTGATGATGATAAGAACTGCTGGTTTTTTCAGATTGTTTTTTCTTCTAGAAACGGTCAGACCCGAGATTTAGGTCTTGAGCGGCTCAGATCCATGCTTGCATGCCGGCCTTGTCTTGGCTCAACCCCGCCTTTCTTGGCACAACCCGAAATCCTAAACCCGAACCCAGAGAGCCCCCTCCCAGCTCAACTCAGAGCCCACAAACTGCCCGGAAAGCCGAAACCCCCCTCCCCCCCCCCCCCTAAACCCTAAACCCTAAACCCTAAACCCTAAACCCTAGCTCCCCCGAGTCCCCCTGAGGTTGCCACTGCCTCCTTCTGCCGCAGCTCTGCCAGCTTCAGAAGCTGCTGGTCATCCTTGCGAGTGTTCTTGAAAGAGTACTTGAGGGAGGGTTTAGGGCTTAGGGCTTAGGGGTTTAGGGGTTTAGGGGTTTAGGGTTTAGGGTTTCTGCTGCATGATCTGAGGGCCGCGCGCGATCCAAGGGTTTAGGGTTTAGGGTTTAGGGTTTAGGGTTCAGGGTTCAGGGTTCAGCCTCAGGGAGTAGTGGAGAGGATTACGGAACGTTGTTACAAACCCTCCCCCCCCATAAGTTCTCTACCTAGACCCAAGAAGAGTAACCCAGGAAAAAAACAAACGGGCGCCTGAGAATACAAATGATGATTGTATACCCCTTTTTGGCATAAAGCGGCTTTTGCAAGGGAATCTAAATCTAGGCCTACTCCGGGTCCGAGCTATTTGGGGCGCCAATGGCCCTTCTACACAAACTGCGGGTATCATGGAGGATCTAGGGCTTGGGTTTTCCCAATAAACAGAACTGAATACTAGAGGGGTCGGAATAATTATTCATAATTTTCCCTTATGGCCCCTATTATTTTTTTACCAAAATAACCCCCCAAAACTCTGCTGGCTGGTTCTTAGTAGGGAATGAGGGAATTCGGGCCCTACATAATCCCTCAAAGGGTATTTATAGGGCCCTCATTCCCTCACTCCCTACTAACCAGGGGGATGAAGGCCCGTATATTACAGTGAAACCCTAAACCCTAAACCCTAAACCCTAAACCCTAAACCCTAAACCCTAAACCCTAAACTAAGTGAGGGGTCGCTTCCGTCGAGCGACAGACCCCGAACGCTCGGCCGAGGGCCTTACAGCCCGAGCGCCCATACGAAAAGAGAGACGGAAAGGTGAGGGTTAAGCCTCACCGTCTGTCCTGGACAGGCCAACGGATATTGGCCCTTCTTACGACAACGTCAGCACTCGAACAAGGGATGGCCGTATCCAGACCACCTTTAGCGTAGCTAAAGAGTAACCCCAAATCGTGCGGCTTCTGCTCTGGAGGGGGTTCGGGGTTTCAGCGGCCGGCCGGAGTCCGGGCGTCTCCTGAGGTGTCCAGGCGCGTCCGGGGTGTCTGGGGGTGTCCGGGGCGTCCGGGGGCGTCCGGGGTGTCCGGGGGGCGTCCGGGGACGTTCGGGGGTGTTTGGGGCGGTTGTCCCGGGGTGCCCCGCGAGGCCCCGAGACGTGGAGCAGGACAGCGCCCAGGGGGCCCCCCCGGACGCCCCCGGACGGTCGGTTTTGGGCACCCCTCCATTTACCCCACAAGGCCCCCGAGAGGCACCAAGAGCCACCAAAAGACTTCAAAAGGCCCTCTAAAGGAGGGGCCCCCAGGATCTGCCCGTGCCCGCAATGAAAATGCGATTTTTTTAGTACTGCGAATGATGGTTTTGGGCACCCCTGCATTTTGCTCCAGAAGGGCCAGGAAAGCCCCAGCACGCCCCGAGAGACCCCAAAAAGCCACCAAAAGGCTTCAAAAGGCTTCAAAAGGCCCCCTAAAAGAAGGGTGACGCCAGGATGCCCATACTCGCAATGAAAAATGCGAGTTTGTTGGTACTGAAATCGATGGTTTTTGGGCACCCCTTCACTTTACACCGGAAGGGCCAGGAAAGCCCCCAGGAAGCCCCCAAAAGGCCCCAAGAGCCACCAAAAGGCTTGAGGCCCTTAAAGAAGGGGAATCCAAGCGCAGGCACAAAGGGTTTCCCTGACCTTCAAATAAATAAGGGCCTCTACGGGCCCTGACACGCCGAAGGCCCGAAAAGGGCCGAGGCTACCCCCAACCCCAGCTTAAACCCTAACACCGCAACTTTAAAAACATCAAAGCAAGCATCAGGGCACAAGAAAGTAAATTCCATAAACCCTAAACCCTAATAGAGTATAATTTGGGTGGCCGGGGTGGGTTGACGGGCAACGCGAGCGCGCGGCCCGGGGTGTTTCACACCCGAGCGCGCGCCCTCC